TAATGAAGAGCAAAACACTAGTTCACTATTCAAGCTGTATTTTCACAATAAACTTACTAGCAAAGATATTAAGCATACAGAATTACTAGTCTGAAAGAGAAAATGGGTTAGACACACGCTTGTGAAACATACTTTATGAAAGGGAGTGATTTATATTACATGATGCCTGTAATTGCATTTGGTGATTTGGCAGGTATTTCTAGGCCTGTCTTTGCTGAAAGACCTCAAAGGGTCCTCAGGTTACTTTTTTATTCTTATTCCCTAACTTGTTCTAAATGGTTCTTTTTCTAAATTACTGACATGCCTGCCTGCCATTGTAGTGAATTAATCAAGCTCATTATTCAGTGATAATGCTCTCAACTTCATGGTTCCTAGAACCACGCCTTAAGTGTTATCAAGGGTCAGTTTATTCCCATGTTACAAGAAAAAAATCAGTGGAAGGCAATGTACTCTTTCACATACCCACCTCACACTCTGAGACAATAGACCCTTTTAGTGTCGAAACTGCTGAAGAATGTTCCTACTGTTTGTTTTTATTTGAATAGGTGAACAGCATCATATGAGCCTTTCATAGGGTAAATGGGTTGGCCAGGCAATTTTGCCTTCTTGTGGGATCATGCTCTCCACTCAAATGTACAAATCAATTATATGACTTCCGTGCTGAGAAAATGCATTAACTTTTCAAATGAACAGCAGCAGCCTGGTCTTGATAAAAATGTTTAAAACCCACTCTTAAACCACAACTCTGAGTTGCAGCTGAATATGAAACATCCATTTACAGCCAATTACACACAATTTCTATCATGCTTTGGAAAATATATATATGCACTAGGAATATTAAAAGCCAAAAACCCCACAACTCTAGGCGAAATAGGACAAGATATGCTTAGGCAGAAATGCAGTGAGCCTTGTAGCATAACAGCAGGCATCTATTGAAAGTATGTGCAGCACATAGGTAACCCTTGGCCTTACACATTATAGAAGAAGAACTGCTACAATCCAAAACTTGCCATTCTAGGAATAACACAATCTATTAAAATGATTCATTCTCAGGAGTTTCTTCCATAGATGAAGAATAATAAGACAATTAAGCTTGGGGCAAAAACTGACTCTTCCAGTGTCACAAAGCCCACAGTAGAACCTCTCCTACTTCCAGTGATGAAATAGGCCTTAGAAAAAGCTAAAAATCTGCATGAAATCTAGCGAGGACAAAGGCAAACTCACTTAAATCTTGAAGTTACAGGTACTCATGCTTAAACTGTAGGAACAGCTTTCAGTTTAACTAGTTGCACAGCTAGGATGCAGGAAATTTTTCACAAGGCTAAAATTAATACCTATATTCAAGGCCCTTCAACATAATTGCTTATTATGGCATGTTCCACTGAAACGCTTATTCACAGGATGCAGTTCTTCTTACTTTGGAAATGAAGGTTTCCAGTGGAGAGTTGTTGCCATTTAAAATGTTCCTGTCTCACAGCAGGACTCCAGGATACTTTCGTAATTCAGACTCCAGATGAGAATAATCGTTTATGGTCAAGTTCTCAAAGAACAGGGGATACTGAACTAACAGAGAAAGATGACATTCTCTTTATGTGTGCATATGTAATCCTAATTAATATGTTAATTGGCAGCTGCAGAGAAGAATTAGTAGGACGCTTAAACACCAGCTTTATTTACCTTATTGGTCAGGCTTCCTCCTAAGTCTGCAGTTATAAGCCAGAGTGATATGAAAAAATTTCAGCAAAACTCATCTCGCTATAGAGATTTGTTCTTGTTATTGCTCCTCAAAAAGCATTTATCTTCCATATAGTTAATCTAGATTGATAAAAACTTACCTCCTGTCGTAAGCCTTCCTTTCTGTTTTTGTACAGAAGTTTTCAGTGTCTTTTAACCTTTAAGAGATGAGTGAAAAACGAAGTTTTCTGTCTGAAAATCTAGTAGTCTCCTCTGATCAGAAGACTACAGTATCCTCCTGTCTATAAGGTGGCAAATCCATGCTCAGGGAGAGATTATTCTCAGCTAAGTGAAATTTAAATACCATTAGATCCCATTTGAAAGTTTTCTTTATACATAAAAAACTAACATAATGGAAAGCAAAAGTGTTGGTGGGAAGATGTATCATCTACTAGCGTGCATTAATATCAGAAGTCTATCCCCCTATCTTCCCACATTTTCGTTCCACTAAATTATAAAAACAGCCAATGACTGGCTTGAGAAATGAAGTATCAACCAGATGTTTCCTGAGCAAAGACAACTTGTGTTTCCCTTTACACATCATCTTCTGAGAGGCAGCAGTACAGTGATTGCGTAGCTGACATCATTCACTATGTTGACTTTGGGTTACTCGGAATCTTTCCTTTACTTTACCTTCCAACTCAAATACAATAGTTTTACAGAGAGATCAGATGGAAAGAATGGATTTGAATGACTAGAACACAGTGTGGAAGAACAGTTTATATTCACTTTGTTAAAACATCACTCCTTATGGAAACAGGATGGGTGACCAGTCATCCCCAAAAAGAACTTCTTTATGTGAAGAACAACATGCAAAAATACATTTTTGTAAGAGCTGGTAATTTTAAAACAAAAGTTCTACATGAGAATAGATCCAAAGCTCATTATGATTTATGGAAAGTTTGATCATTGTGCTTTGGATCAGATGCCTGTTTATTGTCAGAAGCTACAGCGTTTTTCTAGTTCTATTTGGCTACTAGGAAAACTTCATTAGTCCCTATTAATCTGTAGAGTGTGATACCTACCGATCTGTTAATGGGGGTGGGATATAGAAAAGAGGCTCAATCATCACCTAACAGAAATGCTTTGTTCTTTTTATTCAAACAACCCTATGTTTACAACAGATCACTCTAAAAGAACAAACTTTGAGCTCCATCTTTAGGCAAGGTGGTGGAAACAGAAAGCTAACTTGCAGGTGCTACGTTAACAAAGAGCATGGGAAGGGGGGGTCCATTTTTTTTAACCCTGTGCACCAGAACTCATAATGCATAATGACTTACAACTTTCACAGCAGGTAAATTTCTGTTCAAGCTATCCAGAAAGGTTAACGTGATGCATGTATAATTTACACAAGAGCAGTATTTAATCAGTCATTAATAAAGCTCTAAAATGCTTTATGAATGTCTTTACATCCCAAGACTGAAAAATACCAACTCTTTTCTTTCTAGTCGTAATCTCCCATTTAGACAAGAAGCCACATCACAAAGCTGGAACTGCTTTTTCTTCCCTAGTAATACAAGATAGGTGTAATAACGCATACTTAAATAAACTGTTTTGCTTTTCTGTCTTCTTTTTGAACAATCTACCTAGTCCCGCCTTTGCTGCTTTGCTTCAGGACATAACTTTTATCCACATCCTGTTGCTCAAAAGCAACTCTGGTATTCCTGTGATTGCTTATGACATTTGAATTCCTACATACTTAGCACACTGCTAAAATGCTTTCTGAGTTCTCAAGGTAATTTTTTTAAACACTGCCAAAAAAAGAAATTTGAGAATTGATATAGTCAGGTAAAACACCATCATATTCTTGGTAAGATGCAGAGAATTCATTTTCAGTACACATAAATAAAAATTTGGGTCCAGTTCCAGTAAGCACATGTGTACAAAAATTATGGACAGTTAAAGAGAATTATGCTTCAGAACTGTTCTCTCTCAATGTCTGTTCTTTATCTGCTGGAAAAAAAAAGTGACAGCTAAATTTAAAATGGATTGAAAGTTGTCTAGCATGGTAATATTCAATTCAGTAATGGTCTCTAAGTCCAAAACACTTGAAAAATGCCTAAACTGCTGGCAGCAAGCTCTTCAGAACACATGGAATCCTACTTAGTTCTCATAAATCCAAGTTATTCTCTCAAAAGCCTTTAAAAATAAAACAGCCCATGATATCAGCCTGTCATTTGTGATCTGCCCATCATGGCCACTCTTAAACGTGAGAGACAGAACAAGAGCACCGCATGGATAGAATAATGATTTATTGGAAACAAATATTTACACAAAGTATAAAGGCAATCACTTCACCCATTTCTTTTTTTAATAAGACAAAGCTACCCCATTACAAGATTTGTTCAGTAACAGGATTAGATTTAGTAATGATTCAGAATATTTTAAATCCCTGAGATTAAGGGCCTCTCACCTTTTATGCACTCCATCCTCCATCCCACCCCACCCCCCACAAAGGTGCTGGAAATTTAATTTCCTGCTCAGTTGTGCTTTTAGTGGATTACCATCCAAAATTACAGTTTCATTCTTTACAACAGCATGAAATTTAAAAATGCAAGCAACCTCAAGTTTCACATCAAGTTAATTCGCATTCAGTTGTAGGCATCCAGCTTAAAATTACTTCCAATTTAAAGTTGGTATCCAAGCTGCTTTATAGATAAGGCTACTGACTGAAGATAGAACTTGTTCTCCTTAAATCAGACATGGAAGCCAACTCCTCCTTTTTTTCTAGCTGGACACAACTAATAGTTTTTACTTTTCATACAAGAGTATTGAGATGTGAATGTAAGGCTTTAGGCACAAGTCCTTAAGTACCTGGACTTAAAGCCATCACAAGGAAGCTTAGTAACAGAGTTCCAGTTCCTACTGCAGGCTTCTAGTAATTTACCCATATACCGTCAGCATTTTTTAGGTTTATAGCAGGCAGACAGTTTAAGAATGACAAACTTGGGTAGAAAAAGTGTTTCCTCCTAAGCAAGGTAAGTTCCATTATTCAGTTCCAGTAGGAAGCCACCCTGCAAGGCCACAAAGGCAGATCCAGGCATAACACGTGCAGAGAACTTTCAGTCCAAGTTCAGATGTTTTTCCTAGCAAGATCGTTGTCTCTTGTCCGAGGATGTAATATTTCAATCAGCAGAACTCCTCTAGCTGACACATGGCAATCAGCATAAGCAAAGAGTGGGGGACAAGGCTAAACTTAAGTACTTTCTAAACTGCAGCCTAAGTAGCCTTTAAGTACTAAACTGCAGCCTTTGGGCTGCAGCTGGTGTTGGTGTTACCTTGTCAGTGGCTAGCTCTTCAGTTGGAGATAGAAAAGAAGATCTAATAAAATTCAAGGCATAAACCAACTAAAATAAAATTCTTTCCAATATTAGTAGATTTTATCCAGTGTAATATGTAATAGCCACTCCTGTAAGTGCAGAGCTCTAGGAATTAAACAATTCAGATCAACTTTGACCTATGTGTTCTTAGAATAATTATGGCAAGCTTTTTGCATATCCTTCAAGAAAGTAGGCACACCACTCTGTAAAGAGAAAAGTGGAGAAGTCATTCTTGCATAATGTAATCAAGAAAAACTATAAGCAAGATGAGAATTCCCACTATATAGATCAAGGCCTTCAAACAAATACAGAACAATTCTAAGATCTTATACAAAGCAGCAGGCCATTCCTTTAAACCTTCATGAACACACCGCATTATTGAAGTTTGCTTGTGTTAAGGTTATTCACATATGCTCTGGAACATGGATTTGTTGTTTTTGTTGCACAAATTTACCTGCCTGGTTGACTAACCAAAGGAAATTGATAGGAATAATAATAATAAAAAAATTAAGACAACTGCCATGAGAGCAGACAATAGCAAGACTCTACAAATGGGACTGCATAAAAGCTAGAAAGATCAATACATCCATTTCAGAAAAAAATAATTCTACCCAACATGCAGAAGACAGGTACGAATGCGGTGAATACATTGTTTGAAACAGATTAGCCAAAGACAATTGTGCTGTCAACCTTTACTTACCTTGGCAGCCCAATTGACCAGCCATGATGGAATCATGCCACCAGGATTATCAAAATAGTACATATAGACTAGAGATGAGAGAGAAGTTACCAGAAAGTTATCCAGCTATAGTCTGAGTATTAGCTCTAACACCATATGACAGAAGCTGTCGGTGTGCATGACTGAATCACCAAGTACAACAGTTCTGCTCTAAATTCTTCATAAAAAAGTCAACTTGTACTGAAGTGGAATGTGAAGTAAGTATAGCCATTCCCAGCTAACCTCTGGGAAGCTGAGCGCACCATAATATTAATTTAGACTATTGCAAACCATTTTAGGCAGCCTGTCTTATAAAATAAGGTTGTCTTTAAAGGACTAATCTCAGGCAGGAGTCCATCTCTAGGAAAATCCTTTAATCTATAAATCTGTCAAACATGATACTTATATCATTGCTGAGTTTACCAGATTGCAGCTAGCATCAGACTCTACCCAACTGAACTGGCTATCAGGAAAAGAAGTGCGGGCTGGGGGTGGGATGGAGGAGGCAGAATGAAGTGGTCAGTAGTCTATTCTTAACTACCCAGCCCAACTGTTAAATAAAAGATTCTTAATGGTAGCACACTGCACTGGACGTTTCCAAAAGTTTCATTCATTTTAAAGTATTCCTAGTACTCAGTACATCCACTTTACAGTAGCTGTTTTTAGCTTAAAATTTCCAGTCTCCCTCTTTGTGGAGGGAGCCAATACATACATTCTTTGGCTACGTGACTCGTGATCACACTTTCCTGACCTCTTACCTTTAGATCCAGTCTTGCCATCACTTTCAATTGCCAGACTTTGTTTATAGCTTTTAACTCTGATAATACCAGGCTTTTCAGGGCACTGAGGAACAGACACACTTTGAGCTAACGCAACCCAGATCTTCCGCCCATCGACATCCATCTCTCGACATTCACGAATATAGACATACTGTATTCCAAGTTGAGGAGGCATGTCAAAACAGTGTCAGTTTGACATATGATGAATTGACAAGTGAATTCCATTACAAATACCAGCCCCTTCAAGTTATTTCTTATGCTTCTACAGCATTCAGTCCTGCAGAGTAATAATTCAGCTATGTGAGCTTTAGTTGTGTGTGGGAAGAGGCACCCACACTCTTCTTCATGCTATATATACTCATGTAACATGAGGACTGAAAGATCTTAGATCAAGTGCAGCAGAAGCAGTAGAATCAGTACATTGTTGGGATCCCTGGATGACCAGGTGACAAAAGCTGCAAGAGGAACAAAAAGCTTGAAAGGATACATCTCTGTTTGAGAGAGGAAAAGGGTACTTCACTTCCCAGTAGATTACTTTTTCACCATCATATGTTTTCTCATACAGTTCTACAGTTGAAAAAGGAATATTGTTAGATATTTTTAATTTCTACTGCAACAGAACTATACATGGCATCAAGAACTGCTCAGATTGACATGAACACATTTTACACGCAACCCTTATGTCAAAATTGATATGTATGTAAAGTTGTAGCAGTATAAGACATTAAAAAAGTTCTGTAGCGTGGTTGTTCAGGAACCAAATACACAAAAATAGGTGGCCTGTTTTTCTGCTGCTGTTGAATTAATTGATGAAAAAAAAAAAACCCACCACACAAAAGCCAACACCCCCCCAAAAAAAACCCCAAAACACAAAACCAGAACAATTCTGGGGGGAGGCAGAGTCAAATTCCTTTTCAGACAGTTAGCTCATTCAAAGCCTTTCCATCTCAAAGCTTTTTCCTCACCTATGCATATTCTGTACAATTCTGAGCCACAAGTACAGCATGCTTTTTCACAAGTATGTCATTATCCTTGTAAATGATCCTGAGTTAACATGGAACTAGGAAGAGTACTGCTTTCTAATACCTAAAGAGGTCTTACAGTGAGGGATTAATGAAGTTTGGAAAAGCTATTAGGAATTTCACAGCAGTATATACAGGCAACAGTGAACAAGAAGCTCGAGCAGTTTATGAGCCTTCATTACACCACCTTCACTCTGCCTGGAAACTCAATCAGAAGGCAGCTGAATAGGGAAAAAAAAAAATTCTAAGAATAGTCCCTAAAACATGGCAGTGACTCAGTCAGATAGTAGTGTGGCATGTGGCATGAAGAAGAAAAATTAGTTCAAATCAAACTACATAATTGAAAAAATGACTACTGTACAGCTTCTTCCCTTGAGGCAGTAACTGCCATTATCAGGACCTGACAAGCCATAGGGCCGAGCCAGGATAAGTTCCTGTCTGCTCAGGGACTGGTCATTACATGGGTGCAGTTAAAAAGGGTGTGATCCAGAAACGCACTTCACATTAACAGTCAGAGTGGTCTATTCCTCCTTTAGAGCAGAGTTCTGCCTAGAGGTGCTATCTATCCTTCAGAGCTAATGCACACAGTCTGCCACATCACTTTCAGTGGTTTTGAAAATAAGGCTAGAACAAACTGATAACCTCATTGCTAAGGCAAGAGGAGTGCCACAGATGGGAGATACTTTCCCTATATAATGTGTTCCAAACTAGGCTTCTGTTAGTATGCCCTGCAAGTCAGCTGTCACCCATGAAAACAGCTTCTCTTCTCCAGGTTGGAGCAGTATCGGATGCACAATACTCCTAGTGCTGTAATAAGCTACAGCATTATGCTATCCACCAGAGGTCACTGGAGCATTGGTTTATTAGCTTTACTTTCATTTCTAACTGAGAGCTTTCCTTTTCAAAGGTATTAAGACACTATTTTAAAAGACCTCGATGCAATTTTTAGCTACTAACTCATCTACCTTTGTATCTTTGCAAACACAGAAAAACCACACAATAGGTAAGTCATGTCCCACCTGTATTCACTTTGGTCTGTCAATACTAGTGGACAGCTTCTGATCAAAGCAGAATACAGTGCATTTTAATCAATAACCACATTTCACTTAGCATTACTACAATAGATCACAAGTCTGCTTTATTCGTAACAGGCACAGCTGCATTTGCTGCTTTAGCAGTCCATTATTACTGTTAAATTGTTGGGAAGTAAGATCTCTATCAGGATGGTGTTGCAATCAGGAGTAGCAAGTTTCAATGTTGCTCAGGCCCAACCATTTTGTGTCATGCCACAGAAGCATGCGGTACCTCCGTCACTACTCTACAGTTTAGTCACAGTTTCCCTGCTGAATTGGCAGCAGCAGCACAGACCAGACCTCAGGTTGTCCCTGTCTTGTAGATATCCAGGAGCCTGCTCTGGAAATAGCCAGGGCACCAATAGCAATGCAACAACAGCAGCAGACTGATACCAAAACTTGAGGCCTCAGGCAAACCCTTGGCAACAACAGATCAAAGCACGATCTGACAGGAATCCTGTCCGTATCTGCCTCCAGTCAGGCCTTCATAAAGAGTTTTGCTGAACAGAACTAGAGGACAGCGATAAGCTGTCTGGTAACTGCAGGAGCAGTTACCTTTTCAACTAAAAAGGCAGCTACTTCTACTCTGGTCACATTTTTCAGTGCCAGCCAGCAGTTCAGCAGAGAACTCTTCTTTGGACTGCCATTATTGCATAGCTGTAAGAGCAACAGGGAATACAAACAGTAAAACAAATAGCAAGAAGGCTCTGAATGGAAGTTTTCTGGTTTTTCTCCCTAAATGTGAAAGGAGAAAACCCAAGCTTACATAGTTTACATTGAAAATGCTGGCTAGCACTATTTCATCGTATGTACAGTTCTAAAGAATGGGCGGGCTTGTGTCAGTTTTTAAGCTAAAAGGAAAGCGTTAACATTATGTTTATGCCCTTCAAGAGTTAACTTCTGTGAAACGCTGGACTTGAAGTACCAGCACAAGTATAAATTCACAGATGAACATATCATGGCCAGCAAGGATATAAACACCAGCTCTGCAACATTATCTAGTTTTTAGTTTAAGGGTGTAGCTTCCCCCAACTGCTTCCTTTCTTTTTCTCTAAGAAGGAATTAAAAAAAAAAAGTGTTTGTTTAAGAAGGATCTAGTTCTCCTAAATGCACTTAAATCAAAGACTACTGAAGTAACTTAAGATAACACAGTATTTTTACATCCAATATGATAATATTGAGTCCCACTCCACCTCTTTGTTTCATTAATGGCAAAGCAGCCTTTGCTACAAGAAAGCTATTGCCCATTTTGACAAATAACACCTACTAATGAAGACATAGGTTCTTAAGCTTGACCAAGTACTGACATGAGTCAAATATGTGGTTCTCTGTACCAATACAGCCAAAGGCATTACCAGTAATTGTTCACCATAGAGCTGTCCTAGACTTAACAAGCACAACATTTAACAATTCTTTGGTTTTTAACACTGTTCTTTGTTCAGCAAAACACTTTGGCCATGTTTCAGTTTTATTGGCCTGAACTGATTTTAAACACAGGCTTAAATGGGAAGGGCTCCTCATCTTTAAAATAAATGGATTACTGGATGCCTGCATCAGCTGAATCCTTGCCTTGTCACTGCTGACTTAAGATGCTTTAACATCATATGGATATCCAGGTTCAACACCCTTTTTCAAAGACAACATTAAACAAACACAACTAAATTAGTTATTCCTTTCTCTGTTAAAGCCTGAAGTCACCAACTATTCTCTCGATACACCCATTTCTGATTGTAAAAGGTGCCAAGAACAACCAATGCTTTCAGGAAAAGACATTCCATCACGCGTCAAACTGGTGCAAGCCATTGCACTGCTCTGCAATGCAATATGCAAAGATGCACAAAAGGTACTGTCTCCATTTCTCCCCAGAACATCTACTAAAATTTAACCTAGGAATTACAACAACTAGAAGCTGCAAGGTGCTCCAGCATAACAAGTGATGCCAGCTATGTGCTTTAACCAACATGGAAAGAATTCATTCCAGAAGGAAGCTATATGGCGATTCCACGTCAGTGTCTACTTGTATATTTGCAGAGTGTAACCATATCCCAAAATATACTTAAGTCTGGCTGAAAGTCTTTGGACGCAGCAATTTTAAAATACCTTTGAACAAAGTTTTAGTGGGAAGAGTCAATGTGGACATAAAGCTTGCTTTTAAACTGCTTAGATGAGCTTACCTTTAACATACTGATCCCATTGTTTTCTGAAATCTAAATCCATATAGACATCTGCACACAGTTTTGGGGGACAGTCAGCAAGACCACCAAAGATTTTATACTCATAAAGTCCTGATTGCTGTGGAAACAGAATGGGGAGAGGAAAAGTCACACAGGAAAGGGAAGTACTCTGCAGCAGGGAGAACAGCTGAAGGAAGTTAGGTGGGGCACATACTACAAATTTGCTCAAGAGCTGTGAAAGCAAGTGTTCAAAAAACAATGCAAGATTCAGTCTTTAACCTCTCGACTTTTTGATCTATACATGAAAGTTTAAATCCAGGCAGGCTGACCTGCCCAGCACAATGGTTGTTCCTTCCCTTACACCAGTACCCTTTTACTTCATAAGTAGTTCCAAAGGCAGCATGTTTCTTCACGCACACACACACCCACCCCTTTTCATCTCCAGTGGTCAGTGTGGACTAAATCCTGCCCACACGGAAGCTTACCAGAAGCATTAAATTGTTGTGGCAAGGTCTCCAGACCCTATATAATGTATTTAAGAATCTCAGCCATTTCCAGGATGTTACCAAGTACTGCACGATCTGGAATAAGCTTTCCAGCTAGTCAGGTATGCTTATGCTTCAGGCTGTGATACAAGAACGCTTTATAATGTTCACGCTTATATACAATGCACTATTATATCTACCTTGAATATTTATCAGCTATTTTCTTTCTGAAAGCTGTCTGCACTGAAGGGGTGGGGTGCAGGATATCTCCTATGTTAATGCTTTTAATGTTTCAACATATGGAAACTCCATCTGTGCCTATAGAGCAATGTTTGTTCTATTGTTAGTACCAGTTCAGGACTAAATTAAAACAATGAGAGTATTTTGAATATACAGTGTAGGAGTCCAATTCAGGCATTCCCAAGGAAAGGGAGGGAAGGATTATACAACATTCTGTTAGTGAATGGTTGATTTTTCTTCTCCCTCCCCCCTCCACAAATCAACCCTAGAAGATGAAGATTTGATGTACCAGAAGATAATAATGGGACCAAGAAGCTTAAGGTACTCATCTTCACTGTGGCTTCACTGAAGCACCAATCCCTAGCTTCAAACCTGAACTGTTCAGCACCTGTGCAGCCCCATGCACTCATGTCACCTTTGTAAAAGGCATCAACATTTTTATTTTCAAAAGAAAAACTAATTTTGAAAATATCACACTCGAAATTGAGCCGAGACCCACCAGCATATGCCAAAGCACTGCATTGGTACTTCAAAAAATAGTTGGTTTAGCTTAAGCACTATTTCATTCCAGGTCACTGGTCAGAAATGCTGTGTGGATTATCTTGCACATAGGTATATTTACATTGTCACATAAGGCAGGAGAATAGCAAGCCACAATTCTCCTCGCTCTTCTAGTAATTCAGAAAAAAAGTCTTACTTCCTCATGTCATTGGGCTGCTCTTCCACTGAAGAACAGAAGTCTTTAGATTCTTTTCCTGGACTTTGATTATGACTGCATCTTGAGAGGTAACAAACCAAGCTCACCCGTAACTTTAATTCTGCAGTCAACATGCAAAGCTAGCTGTCCATCAGCACACTCACCGTTTCTTTGCATCCTTCAGCTTCCTCTAAATCTGTTTGATAGAAGAAAGCCATGCAGTAATTTTCTCATTTAAACTATCAGAGCTTGCATCAAAGACTTTGCATAAAATTATGTGCTTTGTGCCTTAGCGAGGACAGACCACAGTTTCTCACTTCCAAACAGCTTTAGGACCACAAACTATTACCTTGTATTGCTTGTTTCTAAAGCTTTTATGTTCCACCCAATAGGCAGCTGCAAGTGCCTGTAATACTTTTAAATCGAGGATCATCAAAAGATATGCATACAATATAGGTCTTTAAAGCATTTTTGCTATAGATAGAACCTCCATCAGAGGTTAAAATAGAGCTGTAGTGATGTCATTTACTGTCACATAATTCAGAAGCCACTAAATACAGAGTGCAAGTGCTGCACTACCTGATCTCCCGACTTAACAGATGGGATTCTACCTTACAATCAAAGGTAGGCTCCCAACCGGTTCACAGTATCAGTTCAGTCATTCTTGCATCTGTAGCCTTCAAGTTCTTACACTGTAGCTCAAGACAGATCAAGAAATTATGTTGTTCTTCTCTATCAGTCTGTTTATTCCACTGCTAGACAAATGGTGGCATACATCATTAAATATCTTCTACTAAAAAAGGCAGTATTTTGATAACAGTATGAAATAACAAATCATGATCTGAAAAGTGAACAGTACATCTTGCGGGAGGCAAGATAGACATTCAATAAAGGCAGCAATTTACAAAAAAAAAGTTAAAACAAGAGTAAAATGTTTCAGGTTTTCAGAGGCCTATCAGCAGGAGAGTCAATCAGCAGGTTGGAATACAGCACAGAGCAGGAAAGCCCGGGAGATCTGTTTGTGTAGCCTGCAGAAAAGGTGGAAAGAGAAGGCAACAGGAAATATAATTGCTGCCTTCAGCTTCCTGGACTACCACTGCTATAGTGGACTCCCAGTTCAGTAAGTGTTAAAAGCCAATTTTTCCAGTAACAACTTTAAGCAAAGACCCTTCTCCTAGACTTGGTTCTTCTTCTCATGTGGCAATTTGAAGCAACTGAAAGACAAAACAAACAAGAGACTTATTTCCCAGCAGAATCAGAAGACTGGACTTGAAAAGGTCCCTTGCATCCTACCTAGTCTGTCCATCCACCCTAAATCGGGGTCATGTACAAGATGTGAAAAACAACAACAAAAAAAAGACACCTCAATGTTTTTCAGCAAGCTCAATAGTCCTTCTATATAAAAGCGTGAGAAGAAGCCTGAGCCTTCCATCTAGCCAGCTCCAGTTTATACAATAGCAGCAAAGCCACAGCAACACAGGCTTCCCCAGTACAAGTCTCACGGACACCTGGACCCATTTGTTTGGTTAAATCCAGTCTCCAGCTTCCCGAAGGTACTTTGCCTTCGTTCACCGTGTGATGCATTTACAGGTCTGTGACGAGCTCCAGTCCTAAAGTCTCTATTTCATCCACTCCAGAAGCAACACTTCTAGTAAATTCGATTTCATCAGCATATCTAGTGCCTGCATAGATACCTGGCAGACACCGGAGGCTCACCTTTGCTGCGTGCTCTCATTGATAAGCCTGTCTTGCTATTGCCAGTTACCATGCGCATGCTGTAAATAAGGACTACTTACCGCCAAAAAATTCTGAGGTGTATGAAGTGACTTTTTTTTTTTTTCAAAAAGACTTTCCCTGCCTTTCACACAGACCTATACATTTGCTTTATTTGCTATGTTTTTCTAACATGACCATGCCTGAAATGATTTTTCAGAATACAAATACAAAATTGTCATGCAAAGCGCAGCATAAAGTCCAGCTTTATAAGGAGTTGAGAGGTAACTATGATGACAGAACTAAAGAAATAGGATATTTATATGGATTCAAAAGTCATTGTTAAATCATAAATCTGCATCAGAATGGAAACACCATGTTAATCACTTACAAGTCAGTTCTGGAAGCCTAAACTTTTGAACTTCTTAAGAGAAGTAAGTCCTCCCCAAAAGAGGGGATTTCATTTCAACCTTTTCTGAACTACGTTCTGATTTTAGAAGGAGAAAGGTGGAAAATCAGTTTGAAGGGAGTTTTGGAGAGAGGGAGAAGGAAGGGAAGCGGGAGTCTGCAGATCAGGAGGATGCTCTCTAACACGGGAGGTGCTGAGGGACAGGTCTCTCCTCCACCACACGCATCGCTCAGAGGGGGCTCGGGAGAGAAGTGGGACGCGCAGAGCAAACGCTCCGTTAGACCCACGACTGCTCCTGTCGCCGACAGCACCTTCCGCCAGGAATTCCTCCAGCCACCAGCTGTCAACAAGCTTTAAGAGCCTCACAGTTTGCAGGTTCCCCTAGCAGTTTGTAAGAGCGGTGTTTACTGCAGCAGGGCAGCTTTCTCCATCAGCAGTTAATAGCATTACCCTGAAAGCTGCTTTCTGAGAGCCTGGAGAAACTGAAGG